CCACACAGGTACACTCACACAGGCACCTTGGTACACTCTACACAGGTACACTCTACACAGGTACACTCCCCACACAGGTACACTCCACACAGGTCCACTGCCACAGTACTCTACACAGGTACACTTCACACAGGTGCACTCCACACAGGTACACTTACATAGGTACTTACACAGCACTTACACAGGTACACTCGCACAGGTACACTTACACAGGTACACACTTACAGGTACACTCACACAGGTACACTACACAGGTGCACTCACACAGGTACACTTACACAGGTACATTCACAGAGGTACACTTACACAGGTACACTTACACAGGTACACTCTACACAGGTACACTCACAGCAGCACTTACACAGGTGCACTTACACAGGTCCACTCTACACACAGGTACACTCTACATAGGTACACCTACACAGGTACACTTACACAGGTGCACTCACACAGGTACACTTACACAGGTGCACTCACACAGGTACACTTACATAGGTACACTTATACAGGTACACTTACACATGTGCACTCACACAGGTACACTTATACAGGTACACTTACACACTACACTTACACAGGAACACTCACACATGTACACTCACACAGGTACACTCACACAGGTGCACTCACACGGGTACACGTACACAGGTACACTCACACAGGTACACTCACACAGGTACACTCACACAGGTACACTTACACAGGAACACTCACATGTACACTCACACAGGTACACTCACACAGGTACACTCACACGGGTACACTTACACAGGTACACTCACACACAGGTACACCTCACACAGGTACACTCACACAGGTACACTTTACACAGGTACACTCCACAGGTACACTTACACTGGTATTATCTACACAGGTACACCGCCACAGGTACACCACACACGGGTACATTTACACAGGTACACTCACACAGGCACACTCCAGTACACACTCACACAGGTACACTTACACAGGTACACTCACACAGGTACACTTACACAGGTATTCACACGGGTCACTCCACAGGTACACTTACACGGGTACACCTACAGGTACCTCGGACACCAGCACCACACAGGTACACTCTACACAGTACCACACAGGCACATCCTACATAGGTACACTTATACAGGTACACTTACACAGGTACACTTACACAGGTACACCTCCAACGGGTACACTCCTACACAGGTACACTTACAGGTACACCTTACACTACACTTCACACAGGAACACCACACACATGTACACTCACACAGGTACACTCACACAGGTGCACTCACACGGGTACACCCTACACAGGTAACCTACACAGGTACACCCCACACAGGTACACCTACACAGGTACACTTACACAGGTACACCCCACACAGGTACACTTACACTGGTACATTCACACAGGTACACTCACACAGGTACACCCACACGGGGTACATTTACACAGGTACACCCACACAGGCACACCCACACAGGTACACTCACACAGGTACACTCCTACACAGGTACACTCCACACAGGTACACTTACACAGGTAAGTATTCACACAGGTACACTCACACAGGTACACTTCACACGGGTACACTCACACAGGTACACTCCACACAGGCATACCCTACACAGGTACACACTCCACACAGGTACATTCCTACACAGGTACCACACAGGTACACACTTACAGTACATCATACAGGTACACTTCACACAGGTATACTCTCACACAGGCACACTCAAACGGGTACACTCCTACACAGGTACACTCACACAGGTACACCTCTACACAGGTGCACCACACAGGTACACTTACATAGTACACTCTATACAGGTACACCCTTACAGGTGCACTCCACACAGTTACACCCTACAGGCTAATACTTCCACAGGTACACTTACACATGAACACTCACACATGTACACTCACAGGTACACCCACATGGGGTACACTCCTACACAGGTACACTCACACAGGTACACCTCCCACAGGCACACTCACACAGGTACACTCCAACACAGGAACACTCACACATGTACACCTCACACAGGTACACCCACACAGGTACACTCCACACGGGTACACTCCACAGGTACACTCACACAGGTACCACTTACACAGGTACATTCACACAGGTACACTCACACAGGTACACTTACACAGGTATTCACACAGGTACAATTCTACACAGGTACACTCCACACAGGTACACTCACACAGGTACACTTATACAAGTGCACCTACACAGGTACACTTACACAGCAACACTCACACATGTACACTCACACAGGTACACTCCCACAGGTACACCACAGGGGTACACTTACACAGGTACACTCACAGGTACACTCCACACAGGTACACCTACACAGGTACACTTACACAGGTACACTTACACAGGTACACCTACACAGGTACACTCACACAGGTACACTCACACAGGTACACTCACACAGGTACACTTACACGGGACACTTTCACAGGCACACCCTACACAGGTACACTCACAGCACACTACAGCACTTACACAGGCACACCACACAGGTACACCCACAGGTGCACTCACATACACTACAGGTGCACCCCAGGTACACACACCACAGGCACACTTCACACAGGAACACTCCACACATGTACACCTCACACAGGTACACTCACACAGGTACACTCACACGGGTACACCTTACACAGGTACACTCCCACAGGTACACCCACACAGGCACACCACACAGGGCTACCTCCTACACATGTACACTCACACAGGTACACTCTACATAGGTACACTTTCACAGGTACACTTACACAGGTACACTACACAGGTACACTCACAGGGCACACTTACACAGGCACACTCACACAGGTGCACTCCACACAGGTGCACTCCCACAGCACTCTTACATAGTTACACCCTACACAGGCACACTCTACACAGGTACACTTACTCAGGTACACTATACAAGTAACCTCCCAGGCACTTTCCCAGGTGCCCCTCACACAGGTACACCTTACATAGTACACTTATAAAGGTACACTTACAGGTACACTTATACAGGTACACTTACACAGGTACACTCTACACAGGTACACTAAACGGGTAAACTTACACAGGTACACCTACACAGGTACACTTACACAGGTGCACTCACACAGGCAGTACTACATAGGTACACTTATACAGGTACACTTACACAGGTGCACTCACACAGGTACACACTTATACAGGTACACCCTACACAGGCACACTTACACAGGAACACTCACACATGTACACACCTCACACAGGTACACCACACAGGTACACTCCACACGGGTACACTTACACAGGTACACTCCACACAGGTCCACTCACACAGGTACACTCACACAGGTACACTACCACAGGAACACCCCCACATGTACACTCACACAGGTACACCACACAGGTACACCCACACGGGTACACTTACACAGATACACCTCACACAGGTACACTCCACACAGGTACATTGACACAGGTACACTCCACACAGGTACACTTACACAGGTAAACCCGCACACAGGTACACTTACACAGGTACATTCACACACAGCACTCACAGGTACACTCCACACAGGTACACTCCACACAGGCACATTCACAAGCACACCTCACACAGGTACACCCACACAGGTAACTCACACAGGTACACTTACACAGGTACACTCACACAGGCACACCTTACACAGGTAACTTCACACAGATACACCCTACACAGGTACATTCACACAGGAACACTCACACATGTACACTTACAGGTAACTCCACACAGGTACACTTACATAGGTACACTCTTCACAGGTACACACTTACACAGGTACACCTCACACAGGTACACCTCACACAGGTACACTTACACAGGTACACTCACACAGGTGCACCTCACACAGGCACTCACACAGGTACACTCTACATAGTTACACTTACACAGGTACACTTACACAGGCACACTTCCTGGTGTACACTCTATGCAGCCACCTCACACAGGTACACTTACACAGGTGCCCTCACACAGGCACTATATAGTACTTATATGCTGCACACTTATACAGGCCACTTATACAGGTACACTCCACAGGTAACTTACACAGGTACACCTCAAACGGGTAAACTCACACAGGCACACTCACACAGGTACACTTACACAGGTGCACTCCACACAGGTACACTCCTCATAGGTACACTTATACAGGTACACTCCTACACAGGTGCACTCACACAGGTACACTTTATACAGTACACTTACACAGGCACACTCCTACACAGGAACACTCACACATGTACACTCACACAGGTACACCCACACAGGTACACCTCCACACACCTTACACAGGTACACCCACACAGGTCCACTCCCAAGGTACACCTACACAGGTACACTAACACAGGAACACTCACACATGTACACTCACACAGGTACACTCACACAGGTACACCCACACGGGGTACACTTACACAGATACACTCACACAGGTACTCACACAGGTACATTGACACAGGTACACTCACACAGGTACACTTACACAGGTAAACTCTGCACAGGTACACTTACACAGGTACATCTCACACAGGTACACTCCACACAGGTACACCTACACAGGTACACTTACACAGGTACATTCACAAGTCACCTACACAGGTACACTCTACACAGGTAACCCACAGGTACACTTACACAGGTACACCTACATACACTTACACAGGCACACTCACACAGATACACTCCCACACAGGCACATCTGCACACAGGAACACTCACACATGTACACTTACACAGGTAACTCACACAGGTACACTTACACAGGTACACTTACACACAGGTACACTTACACAGGTACACTCACACAGATACACTTACACAGGTACATTCATACAGGTACACTCACACAGGTACACTCACAGAGGCACACTTACACAGGTACACTTACACAGGTACACTTACACAGGTACATTCACACAGGTACACTCACACAGGTACACTTACACAGGTACACTTACACAGGTTCTGAGGAGTATCTGGGCATATTGCTGAGTGACTTCATGTTCTCCTCTCTGGCCAGCGACACAGAGAACTTAGCCTTGAGCGCTGGTTCGTCCATGCAGGGGAACGCTCGTCTGGCGTCAGTAGGAGCAAAGAACGACGCCGCTAACTTCCTGGTGTGTAGGAGGAGACTTATTCAGTGGACAGAAGACATGGATAATGAGTGATAAAGGAAGAAATAGAAGAACAACTAGGAAGATACTATACTCATGACCCAATATTATGTAGACCAAATTAATATCATACGCATATGTCTGTCTGTCTGAAGACTTACACAGTGTTACCATCAGGGTCGACGTAGGATGACCTGTAGAAGCCTCTCAGTTGGTCATTAAGGAGGCCGGTGAACCACAGGCTGATGTTTACCGTCTGGTCCACTTGCAGCTCCTGGTCCAGCTGGGCCACGTACCACTCCCTCTCAGTGTCGTACACGTGTTCCTTCACCACCACCTGTACCCCATCTTGTACCACCTGTGAGGGACGTGGATGATAGGTTAGGTTGATAGCCCTAGTCCACATAGATACCAACCTAATATAACCTAACCTAACCTAACTTAAACTTATCTAATCTAACCTAAGTTAAGTTAGGTTATATTAAGTATGGTTACGTTTAGGTTAGGTTAGGGGTAAGGAGTATTAAGTCAAGGTATATTTAACCTGGTGTTAACAAGGTGAGGCACTCAGGTACTTGAACCACTGAAGATAACTACGAAATATTTCTTTAATCAGATAATATTGTAAGGCTGTGTGTGTGTGTGTGTGTGTGTGTGTGTGTGTGTGTGTGTGTGTGAGGGGGGGGGTCTCACGCACACATTACATGGTTCTATAACTCACGGTGATGGTATCATTATGGGTGATGATGTCAGCCATGTGGAGGACGATACTAGAGGTTGAGTTCACCACCCGCATCTCCACCTCCATGTAGCCCAAGATGGTGTAGTTACCATTGACGAAGGGCTGAAGCTTGACCAGGTAGTGAAGGGGCTTAAGGGACTCCGGCAGGCGGTAGTTGATCACTGAAGGAGTGTCTGTGGGAGTTAACAGGACCATCCCTTGGCTGGTCTCTTCTGACGCATCTGTGAAGTCTGTGTAATTCTGCCAGAGATGAATGGGTTAATATGCTTAAAATATATCAATAGTAGAGTCTTTTGTTATATTACTCACGCTGAATATATATATCATGAGGTTAGTTTAGGTTAGGTTAGGTTAGGGGTAGTGGTATGGGTGTGTTCAGGGGTAGTAGCGGGCATAGGGTCAGGGGCAGTAATGGTAGGGTTAGGTTAGGTTAGGTTAGGTTAGGTTAGGGGTAGTGGTATGGGTGTGGTCAGGGGTAGTGGCGGGCATAGGGTCAGCAATGGTAGGGTGGGGTCAAGAGTAGAAGTGGTATGGGAAGCTCCGGGTACTAGTAGAAGGGTTGAGAGGGGTCACACTTACCTCGGGGTCAAGGGTAGTTTCAGGGATAGGGTCAGGGGTGCCTAGGTACTGACGATGGTCATAGTGATAAGGAAGACCATGACGATGATGAAGCCGCCCCAGGCCACGAAGAAATCCACCTTGTCCCTTCTGGTCAGCATCTCGCCTATGTTGTCTCCTCACTCTGCATACACACAATTCAGTCTTTTTTTCTCCAACAAAACTCAACACTCTCCCTCACACCTATAAGACACTACACTCTCCCTCACACCTACAAGACACTACACCCTCCCCTCACTGCTACAAGACACTACACTCTCCCTCACACCTCAAGACACTACGCCTCCCTCACACCTACAAGACACTACGCCTCCCTCACTCCTACAAGACACTACACTCTCCCTCACTCCTACAAGACACCACACCTCCCTCACACCTACAAGACACTACACCTCCCTCACACCTACAAGACACTACACTCTCCCTCACTGCCACACCTCAGCACCTCCCTCACACCTATAAGACACCTCACTCCTCCCTCATCCCTACAAGACACTACACTCTCCCTCACCCTACAAGACACTACACTCTCCTCACACCTACAAGACACTACACTCTCCCTCACCCTACAAGACACTCACTTCCCTCACCCTACAAGACACCACACCTCCCTCACACCTACAAGAACTCTACACTCTCCCTCACTCCTACAAGACACTACACTCTCCCTCACACCTACAAGAACTCTACACTCTCCCGCACTGCTACAAGACACTACACTCTCCCTCACACCTACAAGACTCTACACTCTCCTCACTCCTACAAGACACTACACCTCCCCTCACCCCTGCAAGACACCATCTCCTCACACCCACAAGACTCCTACACCTCCCTCACCTACAAGACACTACACTCTCCCTCACCCTCAAGATCCTACATCCCTCACCAAGACACTACACTCTCCCTCACACCTACAAGACACTCTACACTCTCCCTCACCCTACAAGACTCTACACTCTCCTCACCCAAGACTCTACACTCTCCTCACTGCTACAAGACACTACTACCTCCCCCACCTACAAGACTTCCCACACCTACAAGACTCACACTCTCCTTCACTCATACAAGACACTACACTCTCCCTCACAGCTACAAGACACTACACTCTCCCCACACCTACAAGACACTACACTCTCCCTCACTCCTACAAGACACTCACACTCTCCCTCACTGCTACAAGACTCTACACTCTCCCTCACTGCTACAAGACTACACTCTCCCTCACTCCTACAAGACTCCTCACACCTCCCTCACTGCTACAAGACACTCACACTCTCCTCACACCTACAAGACTCTACACTCTCCCTCACTCCTACAAGACACACTCTCCTCCTCACCTTACAAGACACTACACTCTCCTCACACCTACAAGACACTACACTCTCCCTCACTGCTACAAGACTCTACACTCTCCCTCACTGCTACAAGACTACACTCTCCCCTCACCTCCTACAAGACTCTACACTCCTCACTCCTGCAAGACACTCACACTCTCCCTCACTGCACACAAGCACTCTCCCCTCACTCCTACAAGACACTCACTCTCCTCACACCTACAAGACAACAAACCTCCCTCACTGCTACAAGACTCTACACTCTCCTCACACCTACAAGACTACACTCTCCTCACCCTACAAGACACACTACACTCTCCTCACTGCTACAAGACTACACTTCCCCACCCTACAAGACTCTACACCTCCCCACTCCTACAAGACACTACACCTCCCTCACTCCTACAAGACACTACACTCTCCCTCACTGCTCCATCCCAAGCACTCTCCCTCACACCTACAAGACTCTACACTCTCCCTCAACCCCAAGACTCTACACCTCCCTCACTCCTACAAGACTCTACACCTCCTCACACCTACAAGACCTACACTCTCCTCACACCTACAAGACTCCTCATGCCTCCCACCATGCATACCACACTCCCTCACACCTACAAGACTCTACACTCTCCCTCACACCTACAAGACACTATACTCTCCTCACTGCTACAAGACACTCACACTCTCCTCACACCTACAAGACTCACACTCTCCTCACACCTACAAGACACTACACTCTCCTCACACCTACAAGACTCCTACACTCTCCTCACACCTACAAGACTCTACACTCCCTCCTCACTGCTACAAGATACACTTCCCCTCACACCTACAAGACTCTACACTTCCTCACACCTACAAGACACTACACTCTCCCTCACTGCTACAAGACACTACACTCTCCCTCACACCTACAAGACTCTACACTCTCCCTCACACCTACAAGACTCTACACCTCCCTCACACCTACAAGACACTACACCCCCTCACTCCTACAAGACACCCTACACTCTCCCCTACTCCATAAGACACTACACTCTCCCTCACACCCCAAGACTTACACTCTCCTCACACCTACAAGACTCTACACTCTCCCTCACTGCTACGCTATTCTCCCCTCACTGCCAAGACACTACACTCTCCCTCACTGCTACAGGACACTACACTCTCCCTCACTGCTACAAGACACTACACTCTCCCTCACCCTACAAGACACTACACTCCCTCACCTACAAGACACTACACTCTCCCTCACACTGCTACAAGACACTACACTCTCCCTCACTCCTACAAGACTCTACACTCTCCCTACCCTACAAGCAAGACACTCACACTCCCTCCCCTCACACCTACAAGACACTACACTCTCCCTCACACCTACAAGACTCTCACACTCCCTCCAGCAAGACACTACACTCTCCCTCCCCTGATCCTCCTCCCATGCTAAAGATCCCTACACCCCTCACTCCTACAAGATACTACACTCTCCCTCACTCCTACAAGACACTACACTCTCCCTCACTCCTACAAGACTCCTACACTCTCTCACACCTACAAGACACTACACTTCCCTCCCTCACACCTACAAGACACTACACTCTCCCTCACTGCTACAAGACACTACACTCTCCCTCACTCCTACAAGACTCCTACACCTCCCCACCCTACAAGACACTACACTCTCCTCACACCTACAAGACACACTACACCTCCCTCACACCTACAAGACACTACACCTCCCTCACACCTACAAGACTCTACACTCTCCCTCACTGCCAAGACACTCACACTCTCCCTCACTGCGACACTACACCTCCCTCACTGCTACAAGACACTCACCTCCTCACTGCTACAAGACTCTACACCTCCCTCACTGCTACAAGACTACACTCTCCCCACTCAAGACACCTACACTCTCCCTCACTGCTACAAGACACTACACTCTCCCTCACTCCTACAAGACACTCACACCTCCCTCACTCCTACAAGACTCTACACCTCCCCCTCACACCTACAGCACTACACTCTCCTCACTCCTACAAGACACCTCACCCCCTCACTGCTACAAGACTCTACACTTCCTCACTCCTACAAGACACTACACTCTCCCTCACTCCTACAAAGACACTACACCTCCTACCCTACAAGACTCTACACTCTCCTCACACCTACAAGACACTACACTCTCCCTCACTCCTACAAGACACTACACTCTCCCTCACTCCTACAAGCACTCTCACACTTCCCTCACACCTGCAATCCCTACACTCTCCCTCACTCCTACAAGACACTACACTCTCCCCACACCTGCTACAAGACTCTACACTCTCCCTCACTCCTACAAGACACTACACTCTCTCACTCCTACAAGACACTACACCTCTCCTCACCCTACAAGACTCCCACACTCACCTCCTCACACCTACAAGACACTACACCTCCCTCCACTGCTACAAGACACCACATTCTCCCTCACACCTACAAGACACTACACCTCCCTCACACCTACAAGACACTACACTCTCCTCACTGCTACAAGACACTCACACTCTCCCCTACTGCTATAAGACACTACACTTCCTCCCTCACACCTACAAGACTCTACACCCCTCCCCCTCCCTACCCCCACAAGACACTACACCTCCTCCCTCACTGCTACAAGACACTACACTCTCCCCTCACCTCCTACAAGACACTCACACTCTCCCTCACTCCTACAAGACACTACACTTCCCTCCTCACCCTACAAGACTCTACACTCTCCCTCACACCTACAAGACACACACTACACTCTCCCTCACTGCTACAAACACTACACTCTCCCTCACTCCTACAAGACACTACACTCTCCCTCACTGCCATAAGACACTACACTCCCTCCTCACTGCTACAAGACACTACACTCTCCTCACTGCTACAAGACACTACACTCTCCCTCACTGCTACAAGACACTCACATCTCTACACCCTACAAGACTCTACACTCTCCCTCACACCTACAAGACTCTCCTCCACTTCCTACACCCCAGACACTACACTCTCCCTCACACCTACAAGACACCTCACACCTCCCTCACCCTACAAGACTCTACACTCTCCCCACACCTACAAGACTCTACACTCTCCCTCACACCTACAAGACTCTACACTCCCTCACCTACAAGACACTACACTCTCCCTCACTGCTACAAAGACACTACACTCTCCCCTCACTCCTACAAGACACTACACTCTCCTCACACCTACAAGACTCTACACTCTCCTCACACCCCAAGACTCTACACTTCCCCTCACACCTAAGACACGACACTCTCCCCTCACTGCTACAAGACACTACACTCCTCCCTCACTCCCTACAAGACTCTACACTCTCCCTCACACCCAAGACTCTCACACTTCCCTCACACCTACAAGACTCTACACTCTCCCTCACTGCTACAAGACACTACACTCTCACGCTACAAGACTCTACACTCTCCCTCACACCTACAAGACTCTACACTCTCCCTCACTGCTACAAGACACTCACACTCTCCCTCTCTACCCTAAGACACTCACACTCTCCTCACACCTGCAAGACTCTACTCACTCTCCCTCACTGCTACAAGACTTACACTCCTCCTCACTGCTACAAGACACTACACTCTCCCTCACACCCTACAAGACACTACACTCTCCCTCACTGCTACAAGACACTACATTCTCCCTCACACCTGCCAAGACTCTACACCTCCCTCACTGCCACAAGACTCTACACCCTCACACCCAAGACTCTACACTCTCCCTCACTGCTACAAGACACTACACTCTCCCTCACACCTGCAAGACTCTCTACACCCTCCCTCACTCCTACAAGACACTACACTCTCCTCACTCTGCAAAACACTACA